GGGAGATCACTTGAGCCCAGGAGGTTGAGGCTGCAGTGAGCCGTGATCACTCCACTGTGCTCCAGATTAGGTGCCAGAGCAAGACTTTGTCTCAAAAACAAGCAAACAAACAAACACTATGATACACAGAAACATTTCTGCTTTATCTGTTTATTGCTTTAGGCACACTTGGCTCACAGCACAGTCTCTGAGGTCAGTTTCTCCTTTCCCTTCTGCATGAAAAATGAGTAAGAATATTGGTTAGGTTTGAGACTGAAATAGTCATCAATGGGTATCTTATTAGGATATAAGGCTCATGAAGTCAGGGATTTCTCTGTGTATTGTTCGTCACTATAAAAAAACAACCACCACCACAAAACCACTCTGGTTGTGTATCTAAATAAACATTGGACCTCAGCTTCTACATTTTTAAGGTGAGAGGTTGGCCTAAATGATCTCTATGGTTTAATCCTGTGCAGATACATTATTTTACATTATTTTTCTATAGTGACTATCACTGAATCTCCCATGTCAGACACAGAACTTTTCATATTATAGGTATTTAATAAATGGCAGCTGATCTTACAAAGCAAAGCTCTTTCACTTAGCCTTTATGGGGGTTTCCTATGTGTTAAGACTCTATTATAAGTGCTTCATATGCATGAACTCATTTAATTGTCACAGTTTTATGAATTTGATAGGTGTGATGGTTAATTTTATGTGTTAATTTGACTAGGCTATGGTACCCAGCTATTCAACCAAACACTAATCTAGTTGTTTTGTAGATGTGGTTAATATTTACAATCAGTTGACTTCATCTAACGCAGATTACCCTCAATTATGCGGGGGGTCTCATACAATCGACTGAAAGCTCTCACAAGCAAAAATCTGAGGTTTCTCTGAGAGTGAATAAATAAATTCTGCCTCAAGATTGAAGCATCAGGTCCTGCCCCAAAATTTCCAGCCTGCTCTACAGATTTCCTACTTCCCAGCTCCCCATATCACATAGGCTAATTCCTTGAAATAAATCCTATCTATCTATCTATCTATCTATCATCTATCTATCATCTCTCCCTGGTTTTGTTTCTCTGGAAAAGATAGATGACTATTACTACTCCCATTTTATGTATGAGAAAACATAAGCATAGAAAGCTTAAGTAACTCATTCAAAGGTCACTCTGCTAGGAAGTGACAAAGCCAGGATTCACACTCTGGCAGTCTGATTCTAAAGCTCATACTCTTAACTATTGCACC